GAAAACGGATCTTTGTATAGATATGTAAACTAGGGGTATTAACTAAAAACATTCCTTTTAATAAACACAAAATAATGAACTTAAAAAAAGTAGCAAGGACATCTTAATAATGACCATAAATAGCCACTTAATATATAAGATAATTAGTAGATTATAATAAATAGATACATTTATTGAACAGTTCTGATAAAATCTCATTTGTTTGCAGGCTTACAGAACTCCTCATATCCTTGACTGTGTGAGCTCAGAGATTTCAAAGAGAAAACCAAGGGTTCAAAGCATGTATGGTGTCCTTCTGAATCAGATTGACTGCTACTTTAATCCACTGCTTTGTATGTGCATGGCATAGAAGAAAAATATTAGAGGTCATTGTCTGATATCTATTCTGGAATTAATCGCAGGCTTCTTTTTGCAAGTGGAGATAAATATACAATGTATACATTTTATATAGCCTAGTAAATATATATTTTTACATTACATTTTTTTTTACCTTAATAGGTCACATTAAAGGGTTAGTTCACCCCAAAATGAAATTCTGTCATTAATTACTCACCCTCATGTCGTTCCAAACCCGTAAGACCTTCGTTCATCTTCGGAACACAAAGTAAGATATTTTTGATGAAATGTGAGAGCTCTCAGACCCTGCATAGACAGCAACGCAACTGTAATGTTCCCAGACCCAGAAACATAGCAAGGACATCGGCAAAACAGTCCATGTGACATCAGTGGCTCAACTTCAGTTTTGCGAAGCTACGAGAATACTTTTTGAGCGCAAAGAAAACAAAAATAACAATTTATTTAACAATTCTTCTCCCCCGAGTTACGTCTTCCGACATTTTGGAGAGTACCCAAGAGCGTAATCGACGTAATCAGCGTTGTTTACGTTCGGAGGAGAAAGCGCACGCATGAAGGTAATCTGCGTAATCAGCATTGTTTATGCTTAGGGGAAAGCGTGCATATATGTTGTGATACTCTAAAATGGCGGAAGACATAACTCGGGGGAGAAGAATTGTTGAATAAATTATGTTAATCAAATATTTCCTTAATTTAACATTTGTAGCCCACCTGAAAAACTGTTTCATTCTTTGTTTCATTTGAAAAAGCCAAATGTGCAAATATTGCTGCAAAATTCATAGCATCGTGCCATCACCTGAGGGACAAGCACAATCAAGAAACAAACAGCCAATAGACACACTCTCACAGGCCAAAACTAAAATACTGTTACACATGTAGCCTACATAATGTTCCAATTCTCAGTTCAGTAGCTGCTACAGGAAAATCGTTCTTATTATTATAATATTTTCTTCCTATATGTATCTGTGTGTATATATGGCATTTCCATATTAGTTATATATTACATATTAGTTATAATATACAGTATAATGTAATAAATGTTTAGATGTTCTAATGTAAATGTAGATGTTAAACCATTTTCTTTGCGTCCTCGTGTTCTTACTCTACGACCGCAAGTACAAAGGACGCATGAAAGTGCCCGGATGTGTTCTTGATCTCGAGGATGCATCGAATGCAGACTTGAGAGAATCGAACCGTTAGAAATCCCAGAACACGCTGCAGCAGTGTTGCCAGATTGGGCTTTTGGTAAAAAGCGCGCGCACACAGAGCCGCATCGGACAGCGCGCGACTACAGAATGAAGCTGTGTTGCGTCTTATTGCGCATAAACGGCCAAATACATACAAAATTATGTCAAAATGACCGTCTTGATGAGTATTCACGCAAACAGTCGATTTATCCTAACATTGTCGGTATACAGGCTATTAAGTGAATGTAAACAGTTGAGAAACAAAACTTATGTGTAACAGATATTAGATCCATGCATGAGGTCTTAAAGAGACAGCAACCTATAAACCTGCTGCTGTCTGTCACTAATGTTTATTTATACATTAAAGACTAACCAGTGTTATTTTAAAGTTAAATACATTATTCAGTTTCCGTGGTATTTCTGTACCTAAATATTACTGTTATACCTACCTGAAAAACTTAAAGCACAGTTGATTTTATTTGTATCGTTATTGTATTTGTTTGTGCCATTGCTTATCATTGATCTATTCTTATTTTATTACTGACTGTTTACTTGTCTTTTTTAGTTAAAATGAATTCAATTCAGAGTTTGAAATCAAAGTTCTTTTTAAGTATTTTCCTCACAATATAAATATGAATCAACAAAATTATAAATCGAAAAACACAAATACACTGGGTGACAAAACATTCAGGTAGGATGATTGTAGTTTGAAAATATGTCTAAAAAAATACCCAAACTCCCCCCCCCCCCCCCCCTCATTGCGTTGTGTTCTTTCAAGGTAGCCTGGCAAGACCGGTCTCCACGAGAACACAAGTCCGTTCTTTGCGTTCTTCGAATTGAGAAACAGCAAACTCCTCATCCATGAAATATAGCCACCAAGCAATGCAACTTCCGCACAAAGCACTGCTGCGTGCTGCCATCTAGTGTTAGACAGAACAATCCAGTATGTTGATTAAAACATATCCACTGTGTAGAACTGTTAAAAGTAGTTCTCTCAAAAATGAAAATTTTCTGAAAATGTACTTACCCTCAGGCCATCCAGCACGACGAGTTTGTTTCTTCTCTAAAGAGATTTAGAGAAATGTAGCATTCAATCACTTGCTCACCAGTGGATCATCTGCAGTGAATGGGTGCCA